GGGAGAGGCGCCCTGTGATTCGCCGCTGGCGGAGCGCGCTCCGATTGGCCGGCGCCCGCCGGGGCTGCCCTTCCATGCAGCTCCCACGCCTCCCCAGTCCCAGTCTCCTCCCTCCGCTACTCCTGCCTCCCCGTGTGTAGACAGACGCCGGGCACAGACTGCGGACGTGGGAACTTGCAGGCTTTGGCCAGTCTGACCACGGAGAGGTCTTCTTGCCTCCACCCTCTCACGCAGTCAGCACTCAGCTGTTCAAGGAAACCACAAATGTTTCTTCCCTTCCTTCTCCCCGCGCCCCCAGCTCGGTGACAATGACACGGAAAGCGTTCCATTTTCCGTAAACCCCAGAAGCAGCAGAAATGGGAGACGTGAAGAGGCTGAAAAAGGTGCCGTAGCTCATGTTTGGACGACATCAAGGACGGTTTGTTTCAAGTATAACGTGATTACGATTCACCTGTACACCACTATGCCGCGCTTGGTGCTGTCCATCCCATTTTATGGAGGAGGAAATGGCAATACTTTACGTTAGTATTGCTCTGTTGCTTGGAACCCTCTCAAAATCTCGGTCCCCTTTGTTCTTCAGAGTAATCCCACGGAGCAGCCAGGGTCTGGTTTGAGTCCTTTCGATGGAAGAGTCAGAGCTTTCAGGCAGCAGGTCATGCAAGGGCATTCTTTGGAGATCCCATTTTGGAAGGGGGCCGTCTAGGGTGCACAAACTTGTTTGTTTCCCTGCTCCTGCGATGTTCCTCTCTTCTTAAATAGTACTTTTCTACCGTGTAAAACTATAGGGTCTCTACTGATAGGAGGCCTTTGTACATCAAAAATGACAGGAACATCCTGACAAAGAAGCAAGTCAAGAAAAGTACCCTAGTACCCTAACCTTGGGCTGGTCCCTGGTGTAGTGGTTCAGGGAGTCGGATCTCACACGGCAGACTGGATAGAATCCTTACCTCTGACCTGAAAAACAGGTGTTATGTGTGCCTGATGCCCTAAATCTTAACAGGATGGAAAATGGAGGAAAACGGAGGAAACCACGCTCCTTTGGGCAGTGCTTTCCCTGTCTATGGCTGTCTTTGGTAAGCTAAGGCACTCTCTGAAAGTTAAAAGAAAAAGAAAAGTGCCCTGGACTTGATGGGGCCCAGGAGGACTCTAAGTCCAACAGATTCTCAATGGCTCAGGAGGACCTCATGGACAAAGGAAACAGCAGCCTGACCTGAGAGAACACCAAAGGCTCAGACACAGATCTGTAGGTCTGCTAACACTTGCTTCCCACCTCACCTCCTGAGCGCCCAGTCACCTCATGCTGCATATTGACCCCTTCTGACAACCCACTCAAGTGTCCTCTTCCAAGCCGTTCTTAACATTCATTTTAACTTGCATAATATACCAATTTTCTTTTTTCTTTATTTTTTTAGTTGGGGTAGTTGTCTGGAGGAATATTTCTTGCCAATTAATTAAAAGAAGTGCACAGTATTTATCATGTGTATTTTTGTAAAGTTTCTCTTTCTTTCTCTTTTTAAAATTATCTTTATTTATGGGTGAGAGAGAAAGGCATTACCAAGGCTCTTCATGCCGTGATCCACCTCCGGCCTCAGGCACCCATGATCACAGGCCATGCAGATGTCCAGTGTGTATACAGGGAAAGCTCAGGATGCAAACCTTGGCCCTTCCCATGTAACTTCAGCATCACACAGCAGAGCATTGTGTTACCGTCATACCACTGCAGCTGGCCTATCATATATCTTGTGATGCCTTCATGGAAACTTCCATGTAGTGCTCTTTTATCAGCACAGGATATTGAGAATTTATCACCTGTCAAGATTTTTTTCTTCCCACTGCCCTGGAAAAAGCACACTATGAAGGAATATCCCAATATGTTTGAAATGTTCTTTTTCGGTCCCCCCCAAGAACTTTAAATATATAGATAGATAGATAGATAGATACACACACACACACACACACATATATATATATATATATATAATTCCCAAGGAAAACTGCCTATGAAAAACAAAATAGGTTCTTTAGACTCTACTGTGAAATGTTAATTTCAACACCTTCCTTTCTTTCCTTATGTGTTTAGCTGCTAAGAGAAGGGGTGAACATATTATGAAAGCATCAGTCTTTAGAGACTTAGAGACACACTATGTGAAATGTTCAAAGCTGGAAAAATAGAAGCTCATGGATGAGTGTTGGGTGCCTCTGTGAAAATGGCAGCTTTTTCATTCACCACTATTTGATGTGCCCAAGAAAAGAGTCCATACAGAGTCAACACTCTTCCATATATTCCTGAGTCAGTTCTGAAAGGAATCTACACACACACACACACACACATATATATATATATATATATAATTCCCAAGGAAAACTGCCTATGAAAAACAAAATAGGTTCTTTAGACTCTACTGTGAAATGTTAATTTCAACACCTTCCTTTCTTTCCTTATGTGTTTAGCTGCTAAGAGAAGGGGTGAACATATTATGAAAGCATCAGTCTTTAGAGACTTAGAGACACACTATGTGAAATGTTCAAAGCTGGAAAAATAGAAGCTCATGGATGAGTGTTGGGTGCCTCTGTGAAAATGGCAGCTTTTTCATTCACCACTATTTGATGTGCCCAAGAAAAGAGTCCATACAGAGTCAACACTCTTCCATATATTCCTGAGTCAGTTCTGAAAGGAATCTTGCAGATGAAAACACAGCCGCTAAGATAGTGCTGGGCATATAGCAAACACTCAATAAATATTTGTTGGAAGGAGGGAGATACTGGCAAAACACGCTGTATTGGCTCTAGGTAGTGACTCGGAGCAATATTTTTCAAACTTGAAGGTGCAAATCAATCATATTTTGGTTAAATTGGTCTAAGATGGGCCTGATAGTCTGCATTTTTTTTGAGAGAGAGAGATCTTTGCTATAGGGCATGTGCTCTCACCAGAGAGACAGACAGAAAGCAAAAAATCGCCCCCCACCTCCTAGGGAGGGGATAGCCATGCCACAGTCCCTTTTCCATTCTCCTCTCAGGATTCTGGGCACATACACACGTGCACCTGCGTGAGTTTCAAGCTACCGGATTCGGGACTTGAACTACAGCAGAACTGTGGTTAGTCACATGGAAATCCAGCACCTTAACCATTATGCCAGCTACTGGCCTTAGTTATTCTGTATTTCTAACAAACTTCCAGAAGATGCTGCTACTGGTTCTGACTGTACTTTGAATAGCAATGCCTCAGAGGAAAGGCTCATTCCCCTGCCCTCCCCCTCCCCCCCAGTGATAGCATGCTTGTGAGACAGAGAGAGACACACAGACAGACAGAGAGATAGAGAGAGAGAGAATGACCTTTGGGAGGGTCTTGTCAAACTGTGAACTTCTCTTCCTAGCCTTTCAGCTACTCAGGACCCTGGGCACCCCTGCACACACTTGGCATGTTTTCAAGCCAACCTGGGGATCTAAACCTGCAGTGTGCCACGTGGCCTTCAGCCCTGCAGGGCACCATGTGGTCATTGTGCCACTGTGGCCAGGCTTGTGTTTGATAAGTGGGACTATGCCTTGTCTTTGCTCTCTTTCCAAGGTTTTATATTTTTTATATCACTTTTATAATAAAAACAAATTTGCATTCAAGTCCCAGCTAACAATATCTAAGACAATCATTTTTCTATCACATTATGTAATGTAAACCCAATAATCAGTGACATTTTTCTACCATATCACAGATGTTTAGGTAAAAATTGTTTTTAAATAAAAATTAACATTTTTTATATATACCTAAGTGCACAAATTATCAAAGGAGAGGAGACTAATAGGAGAAACGGAAATTTAAGCAAGTCAATTTCAATGAATAATTGCAACCGTAATGCTTATCAAGTACAAATCATCCTTATAGGTGCTAGGAATGCAAGGAAAGTTAAATAATTGTCAGATAATTTGTATAATTCAGTACAATAGAGAGACAAATATGTGAATTACAAAAACAATTGCAATGTGGGGTAGAATGAAGGATTACAGAAGTACGTGTGGAGGGCAATAAAGAGATATACATTTTGATGGAGGAGCATGGAGAAATACATTATTCTTTTTAAAAGTGTCTTCATTATGTCTTCCATGAGCTAGAGAGGGAGATAGACAGACACAGAGACACAGCACCCCCAGCAGGGTCCTAATGCCACCATCCACCCCCTGCCTCATCCAGCCCCAGACCATGGCCATGTGCTGCCTGGCGTCGTCTG